CATTCAGGACATAGGCATGGGCAAAGACTTCATGACTAAAACACCAAAAGCAATGGCAACAAAAGCCAAAATTGGCAAATGGGATCTAATTAAACTAAAGAGCTTCTGCTCAGCAAAAGAAACTATCATCAGAGTGAACAGGCAACCTACAGAATGGGGGGAAATTTTCGTAATCAAATCTTTTATTATAACTTTTACTAATAGTTCAATTGCATGGAGGGTTACTTTTTTCCTGAAGTTGTGCAATGATTAATTGAATTGCTCTGAATTTTTCAGATGCTGGCTAAGTCTAGCATATTTCAATAAAATTTAAGTCAAATATTTCCATATGTTTTAATAAACTAAAGCTACATGGAAACTCTTAGCCACTCTTAATAAAAATCAGCCTCTCAGATTTATTGTTCAGTACAGTTTATTTCTCTGAATCCTTGAAAGATGGTGAGCACATAAATACCCAATAAACAGCTGATTATTTAATTAAAATATAAGGACTATTTCAGTCACAATGGATTCAGAATTTTGTAAGGATTTAGATGATCTCTGCCTGCAAGGTTTGAAGTGCCTTAACCTATATTTATAGCTACAATGATTTATTGGCTTGCTATATATGACACAAAGTGTGGTAAGCATTTTAAAATGATTCTGTTGTTTATCATAATGTATTCCAACTGCAGAATAAATGTTACTATCTATTTTCAAGAAATTAAATTTTTAAAGATGTAAAGATATTGAGTCACTTCCCAAATGTCATACAGCTAGCAAGTGACTGAGTCCATATTCAAAACACAGGTATGTGCCTAAATTCATGCAACAGAATTAAGTGTACATAATTTTTTTAAGTGTCAAATAATTTCCTTAGAAAGTATCAAAAGATTGATAAGAAGTCCAAATCAAATATAGGGTCAAAAACACATGTTATTAAATAAAAGATAAAATTCAGATTTAACGAATTCAGATAAAAGCAACACATTTCCTAGAGTTAAAAAAAAAAAAAAAAGCAAATATATCCAAAGTGTCCTCAGTTGAACACTGTTAGAAGTTATTTTTCAAACTTTCTTATTTAAGAATTTTTAGGACAACATCGAATTATTTGACTCAAACTGGTTTCACTTCCCAATTCATCAATAAAAAGCAATGTAAAGATGGCAGAATAAAGTAGTTGGAACTTAATCATAACATTCTATAGATTTTATTTATAAACATTTGAATATCTGTATAAAGAAAAAAGAGAGAGAAATAAGACATACATACATACACAAAGAGAAGGTGAGAGTGAGAGAAAGAAAGAGAGAGAAAGCAATACTAATCAACATTTTAGGTAAGGTGTTATTTTCTCAAAAGCAGCATACTTCATCCAACTTCAGAGTTCCTTCCCTGGCCTCCAAATCTCTCTCTTTTCTCATCCTTACCTCCAGTCATCCTTTGAGAGGTTAACCAAAATATTCATTTCCTCGTCATCTTGCAGAAGGCGATAAGCTGCACTTAAATGGTGATTCTCCAGTACAGATCTGTCATTGTACAGAATAGCTGGATCAGACCTGAACAGAAACCAAGCAAAATTCAGAATGTTAAACAGTTGCAATTTATTTGGGTAATTCTAACAGGCTAGAATGCACTACCACTTTTTCCCATGCTTAGAAATTATCTTTGTCCCCATGCCATTTATGTGAACCAAAAGCTCAACTAACACTACAAATCATCAATAGATGAATGTAGGGTATTTTAGTATCGGTACATGTGTGGGCAGAAAATATGTAAAATCCAGCCTGAGAACTCTCTTAAAACTGTTTTACAACCAGATCTCAATTACCTATATTAGTGGCAAAGGTGCTTTTTCTTTTTCTTTTTTTTAAATATGGGTCATGTCAAACTTCTTTATATTTTCTGGAATGACATTTATTTTTATTTTTATTTTATTCAATGAATGCACCAGTTTATTTATTTCAGCTGTAATTTTCAGAACACACATCACCTAGTAGGTACTATCTGTAAGCTACCTCTGATAGTGGCTTGATCTTAAAGTTTTTCCATGCAGAAACCACATGTGGAAAATTGAGAATAAAGAATATAAAGATTATAATGTCAGTTTTTAGTCCCTATCTCAAAGACCATACTATAGCTGAATGTCACTAAACACAGGACTGTATACTATTTTAAGATCTTAAATTTAATGAAAGCTCAGATTATTTGTTTCTCACCAAGGAAGCTGAGTTTCAGAGACTTAAAAAAACTTGTTAGAGCCTTTTGGTGGCCAAGTGGCAGGGCTGGGATGAAGGCAAGATCTTCTGACAGCTGGGCCAGTGCTTCCCCAAGATAACTTCCACCTGCCATTGGCCAAACTTTGGGCAGTATCTATCATACCCTGAAACTGTTAGGCTTAACATTTTATTCATCAAAGGATTAAGGGCCTAGTCACAGACTTTGTTTTCTGAACAGAGATCACACAGGCTGAGATGCTTTGGATAAAGTTCTGTTGAACAGGGCCAATGTTTAAATTTTGTTCCAAACCAAGCTTAACTGAACACATTGGAATTTTCCCACTCCTATTGAGATAACACAGAACATTCAAATCCCGAGGTGAAAGATCTGCTGTTACATCTGTTGAGTAAGTTAGATACCAACTGATGTGTATTTTGTGACACTCTTTTCCAACTCCTGTAATTAAGCCATTTTCCTCTGAGTTGGGGCTGGTTTTGATCCTGGTCTCCAGGCAAGACCCACATATGTTCAACCCACCTATCTTTCTTGGGCAGGTGCTCTTCACCATGGTCTCTGTCCTCAGAGCAAAGGTTCCACCCACAGACACACATTAAACAGTGCTACTCTATGGAATTCCCTGTGTTAAAGACCTTGGAACAGAACCACAAAAAGCTGCTTTTCTGTGGCTGAGACTAAATGAGGAGGCAGGAAGGTGGAACTGAAGCGAGTAGCCGAAGTTCTTTTGTCTGCTTCCATTCAATTAAAATTCTCCTTCTGAACAGAGATCAGACAATATTGTTTTCTTTTGTGTACACTGTAATTAAGTGTTGAGTTCATTAAATACCTGTAGATTGATTTAATGAACATAAACCTATCTAGAGTGTGCACCTGCTTTTTCAAGTGAAATTGGCAAGTATTTATTTGGTGTTAAACTCTCATCCCGCCCTGCTACATTCTTTCTCTTTGACTTACTACCTTTCACCATATCCTAGCTCCTTTTGATTACTATGTCAAGGATAATTAACTAACTCTACTGCCAGATTATCTCCAGTTCCACATCATTGCCTTAAGAGAGGGCAAGTTCTTAGGCTAGGAGAGGGCAAGGAAGAGTTTATCCTAAGTAGAAATGACAATTGACTGGTGCTATTGCCTGGAATTCTGTGCTGAGAGGAATACTCAGAATAAACCCACAGTTTAGTAAGAAAAAATACCAAAATCAATTAACAATATCTGTTACAGGTCAGGAGGTTCCAAGTGGGGCACTTGGACCCATATTTAATGTCTCCAATGGGAGGTTTGTGTTTACCTATGCAGTCAATTAGGAGGAATGCACAGGTTGCTCACGGTGAAGGTGGCCTACAGGAGACAACCTTACTCTTGGGGCCCTGAGACAGGGAGTGATGCAAGCACTAAACAGAGCAGATATGAAACCAGAGAGGATGAGAAGAGATCTCATGAGAATCCCAGAGATCAGAGGGTAAGATTGTTCAATGTTGTTAATGTCAACAAAAACATTCTAATCCTCACTGTCCTCATTCATTTCCTTTACGTGTCATCTGGCCCTTTACGTAAACTGCCCCATTTCCTGTTAGAAATAGGTAGAGTATGCACAGAACATACATAAACAAATAGCGAACATTAGAATAGAGAAGAAAAGGATATCTATATGAGATCTGAACAAAATAGGAGAATTAGGAGCAGACGGCTTCTTAAACTCTAAGTCTTGATTGAGGCTGACCAGACTGACCTCTCATGTAGAGGTTCATTATTTCAGAAACTCAAAATAGGAAAACTATGCAAAAGAAAGGTGACTAACACCTTTCTGATTTCTAAAACTGTCTCTGACCCCTCTTGCCTCTCTTCCAAATATTTCAACACCCTCACCGAGTCTGAATGTGGAAATTGTTGGTGGTTCCGGTATGCTCGTAGTCATGGATGGCAGCTGAGAAGATTATAGCAAAGATCTCCAGCTCCGTCAGCCAGTTCTGAAAGGAGATTACAGAGCAATCAGATGATCTGTTTCTTTCTCAAAGTCTTCAGCTTGCTGACAACACACCCACAGTGCTGCCTTTCCACCCTGCAGCTGATAAGCTATTGCCAAACACAAGTTTTCTGAGAGACAGAAATAAGTTATTTTCCTGTGAAGAGACTTGGAGACTTGTGATTTGAAAACAATGTGTTCAGCAAGGTTGAATAAGCTAACTAGTAGTTTTATCTTTTTCAAGAAATCAAAGAGAATGAACATGAAGACTTGAAAAGCCCTCATTGCATCCTCCCTCAACTTCTAAATAAAGTGCCTAGGTAGACACACACACACACACACACACACACACACACACAATTAGAAATTTTAACACAATACCAAGAACGAAGAGTAATAGAAAAACCTAACGTCTGATTATAGGAGGAATATCCATTAGGAAGTGGGTAGAGACAGATGGAAAAATAATACTTGGCTTTCTGCTCTATGCATGCTGATGACGTTTGAAAGAACTTCTCCCCATCCACACCATCAACACTGGCTGTGGGTCAGTGGTTCACAAAACGTGTTTCTTGGACATGCAGATGGTGTCAGCTGGCAGCTTGCTAGAAATGCTGGCAAATTTTTCAGCCCCACCCCAATCCCACTGATCAGAAACTCTAGGTTGTGGCCCAGCAATCTATGCTTTACCAAACCATCTAGATGGTTCTGATGCACACTAGAGTTTGAAAACTACTGCTGTGTTTCAATCTTCCTTAACTGACTTCCATTTAATGGACTCTGTGGATTTACTTCCTATCGCTTCTGTAAACGGTCCTGCCCCATGCCCACACGACAGAATATGCCTGACTCTGGCCACCTTCTCATATCCTTTGCTCACTTTTGTTACTAGTTAAATTCATACTTACATGATTCAGTATGGTTTATTCTAAACTGCATTTTAATAAATTGTATTTGTTATTATAATTATGTAATTAAATATGACACAAACCAATAAAATATGGACACAAAATTGGAGTTGTTATTTCTGTAGAAACTAAGTTTAAGGCTTTGGACAGTCACTAAAAGAACTGCTGTCAAAATATGTGTGACAACCGTGAAAGAGCAGAAAACATTTACAGAAAAGTTAGAGAGCTTCTGCACTCAGTTTGCTTCAGGCACGTCTTTAAGTTCCCATTTAACTTTCAAGAGATGAGACTAGAAACCTTAGATAGGGGCAGGGTTGATGTAAGACAAATGTGAGTATCCAAACTGGTGAACTCATAAAAGACCTGTGGTCTGAATTAAAGATTAGTGCATAAAATAGATTTATATAAGTTAATGCAAAATGAGTTAAAATGAACGTTTAAGTGTTTCTAATTCCCCACTTAAGCCGTATCTTTCAATTAACTACTAATTTTGGAGAATTATTGCCTTCTTTAAAAATCGGTGAGGGGAAAATAAACAAATGACATAGAATTTATGAAGAATACTTCAGAGTTGGGGCAAACATGAGCATAAACATACCTCATGAAAAAAGAAACCACTGTACTTTTGAAAATGATTCCTAACAGAATCCAGCATGAAATGTCAGGAAGCTTTCTGGCGTCTTCAGTAATATACCTCAAAAATACAAATTGAGGTACGTGGAATGGAAAGTCAAAGAGAAAACAGACTAAGATGAAAATCAACAAAATGAGATGAAAAAAAAGATGGGCAAGATAAGGAAAGATTGCAAGAAAATCGAAGCTGCAAAACACCTTGTAAAGGCATCAGAGAGCCTCCTCATCAGTCTCTTCATTGTCTTGGGGGCCCACGATGTGTCAGGCATTATGCTAGGTGCTTTTATATAGAAACTTACGTAACTCTCACAGCTCCGTAATCATAGGTACTGTTGTTATCCCCACTTGACAGATAAGGAAACAAGCCAGGGCGAGGTGCAGAACTTACCCAAGGTCACGTAACCAGTTATGTGACAAGCCACAAACCATGCCTCCAGAATTCTCACTCGTAATCTTACATTGTATTTTCATTGGATCATTGTTCATGTGTTTATCCAATTTGTCATAAAATTATATAGGCATAATTTTACATTGCACATTTTTCTTGATATTATTCATACATATATTACATATGTAGATTTTTTTTTCCATTTTGGCATTGTCTTTCTTTTCTTCCCTAATATTTTGTCCCCACCCATCTGTCCCCGGTTCCCTCTACCTCCTCTCCCACATGTATCTCTTATTCTAAGGTCATGTAGCGTTAATTTCACATTTTAAAATAAGATTATGAATGGGAGACAGTGTAACATCTAAACAAATCCTAGTCACAGAACATCAGCACAGGCAGCAGAGAGCATCTAAATAACAGTACAATTACAGTTCTCACATTACAACTATCAGTGACGCTTCCCTCCTTACCCAAATAATTGAACAAAATCCTATCTTTGGTATAACCTACCTCTATTAAACCAAAAACAATGAATGATTAAACAGGCATTCAACAACAACAACAAAAAAACACAACCATTGTCTTTAAAACTCATTTTAACACCTTAGTTTTTCAACAAACACCATGCATGCTTAGAATAAGTTATACTGCTTTGGGGATAAGAAGAAAGAAACATGGTATCTGGGAGAAACAGCTTCACAGAGGAGAGAGATGTTTAAGATCGGTCTTGAAAATTTGACAGAGAAAGAAGCGAAGGTAGGCATTTTCAGAAGAATGAACTAAATGAACAAGTCCCGTCAGCAAAAGCATGTTCATTTCAGGTAAGAAAATGATGCCCTTGACTGGAGCAGGAGTGAAGGCTGATCGAGGGCCTATGAGGTCAGGCATTAGAAAACAGAGTGAGTGAGGAATATAAACCAGATTCAGCAGGCGGTGAAGCTCACACAGAAGAGTCATGCAATCAGCTCCCCACTTCAGGAAGGACATTTGGACAGGAGGAGAGAAGGGAGATATAAAAGCATTTTTGTTGTTGTTGTTGTTTTTAAACAGGGTATCACTCTGTTGCCCCGGCTGGAGTACAGTGGTGCAATCTTGGCTCACTGCAACCTCTGTCCCTATGGCTCAAGCAACCCTCGGACCTCAGCCTCCCAAGTAAGGGCTGGGACCATAGGCACCCACCACCATGCCCAGCTATTTTGTTTTTGGTTTTTTGGTATTTTTAGTAGAGATAGGAGTCTCACCATGTTGCCCAGGCTGGTCTCTAACTTCTGAGCTCAAGCAATCCGCCCATCTGGGTCTCCCAAAATTCTGGGATTATAGGCATGAGCCACTGTGCCTGGTCAAAAGCAGTATTTTCAGATTGAAAAGTTCATATAGGATGTACAGACAGTGTGGAGGTAGAAGTCATATGACTTAGCAATTATCTGACTTTTGGAAGTGGTAGGAAGACCAGATGAGGTTGCAGTCGAGGAGAACAATATGTTAGATGACCTCAACACTCCTGGCCTCACTGAGTGGCTAACAAACCCCTCAGGTGGTATTAGATAGCATCATTAACAGAAACAGAGAAAGTAGGGGAAGCTATTTTGGAGGAAATTGAGCTTCCTATTTTAATATAGCTCAGATTTCCTTGCCTCTTCCAAATAAACTGCTGTGAACCCAGAAGGTTTTGGCTCAACCCATAAGAAGTCAGAAATTAAAGTCCCACTGGCATTTTATTCCAGAATTACCAATTAGTGGCAAGGTACAAATCACATATGCTACCAGTATTTTCCTGTCTACAAAATATGAGTGTCACAACTGGTTCATCTGAAAGGATGCTTTGACAACTGGTAATAGGGGGTCTTGAGTTTTGCTATGTATGACAGCAAGAAAGCAAGCCACTTGTTCCTGCATATAGGGGCAGATGAGGAGACATGGGGTACAACAGCCCAGAGGAAACCTGAAGGAAAAGGACATGGCCAATTTCTCATTGTTAGAGGAGATACTACTAGCAAGTTGTGACTTTTCTAATGTGAATGATAGAGTTTCTTTAGTAATCTGTTAGTTTTCCATGCTACCTTAACAAATGCTCAGTCTTGAAGGCTTAAAAAACACTTCCAGGCCTGGTGTGGTAGCTCACACCTATAATCCCAGCACTTTGGGAGGCCGAGGCGGGTGGATCACCTGAGGTCAGGAGTTTGAAACCATACTGGCCAACATAGTGAAACCCCGTCTCTACTAAAAATACAAAAATCAGCCGGGTGTGGTGGCTTGCACCTGTAATCCCAGCTACCCAGGAGGCTGAGGCAGGAGAATCACTTGAACCCAGGAGGCAGAGGTTGCAGTGAGCTGAGATCGCACCACTGCACTCCAGCCTGGGTGACAGAGCGAGACTCCCTCTGTCTAAAAAAAAAAAAAAAAAAAACGCTTCTGATTATTTGCACACAGTTCTGCCAGTCAGAAGCCCAGCCCAGTGTGGATGGGTTCCCTGGTCAGGGTATCCCAAGGCTGACATCAAGGTTCGGAAAGGCCTGCGTTCCTTTCTGGTGGCTCTGGGGGAAAATCTGCTTCCAAGAATATTCGGGGCATTGGCAGAATTCATTTCCTTCTAACGTTTTCCACGGTTTCCCTCTTCACCTTCAAGCTGGCAATGACTGTTGGGTCCTTCTCACACTTGAAACCTCTGATTTCAGCCATACCTCCTTGACTTTGATGAACTTGTGTGTTTACATTGGGCTCACCTGGAAAATCCAGGCTAATCTCCCTATTTAAGTTCTTCCGATTGTTAACCTTAATTGCATCTGCAAAATCCCTTTTACAATCCAATGTAACATATTAATAAACACATGTGACACCAGAGAACAAAGGTTGCAGGAGCCAAGTTTCTACTAATTACAATCCCTAATAAAATTATTTGGCACTCTTCAAACAAAATGTAATTTTGATATCCTGAGTCTTTCCTGTATTAATTATGGTCGTGTCATAAACGACCAAAAAAAAAAAAAAAAACAAGATACGCAGCTTCTCCTTTCTGGAAAAAAAAAAAAAAATAGACAAAGGGAAGATTACTGGCATCTTGCTTGACAAAAGCAA